CGATTTCGTCTAGGAAGTTTTTAACAATCTTATAAATTGCTAAAGAAGTAGAGTGGTCTTTGTTAAAGCCACTTTGGTTTTCATGTAAAAAAAATTATTATAAAATGAACAAAGACGTTTCACCATAGCCGCTTCAAATAATTAAGCTGACGTAGATAACAGAGCTATAGGTCGATAAGTATTTATGTCAGTAAGTTAGCCCTTTTTATGCAGGGGTTTGATTAGAGATATTTTAAGGACATCTGGGAAAATACCTTCTGGAAAAGATCGGTTTACTAATATTGTTTAGGGGATTGTTACTGTATACTCACATTATGAAAAAGTGGTACAAATAGTAAAATTATTCTACGAAAACAAACCTTGCATTCGAAGAATTATTATTTTTGATGGATGACAATATTTATGCGAAAGTGCTGGCCACCAGCACAGTAAAGAAGTCATGTACTCTGGGAAGAAAAACAAATATTATGTCTCATGTTCCCGATCAGCAAAAATTAGGAATTGAACTACCTTATTATGTTTGTTTAGAAAAACTTTGTGTATTCACAGTTAAAAGGTCATTGTTAGACGACGGACTCATTTATTCACATTTTATTGCTGATACACACATACACAGATACACAGTACCTCCTTGTATCAGAAATACACGACCTTTTGGTAATAATATAGTTGATAAACTTCCAAGAGTACATTTTTTTAAATTAAATGGAGCACTATTATAAAGAGTGCAAGCTCTCTCTCTCTGTCGCTAGAAACTAAAAAAAATTGATAGCTTCATGGTTTTCTAGAGTTTTCAAGCACCGTGGAGATATCAACTGTTACGCATATATTGTATTCCTGCAATACGGCTACAATATCTATAAAACATAGCAAGATCAACGAGCATAAAGCATTTCAAGATTTATAAACGGCTTTCATTGTTAATATAGAAGACTCTGGATTATACAGAGACCACTAATTTTCATTTATGTGTTATATTCCAGTCAACAAATATAAATCTGAAATTGTAGAAGTGAAGTGCTTATCATCCAACTATAATATGGAACTCGTAATAGCATTTAAACAAAAGAAAATTGACCTTTGGATGCATAAATCTGACGTTGTTACAGTCCACACAAAGCAGATGATAGTTCAGGGCTAATCACTGGTCAAAACATGTGTGTATTTGCCATGTGGACATGTGACATTAAAATAAAATACAAACAACCATTTCTGTATGAAACATATGAAGAAACCTTTAGTTGAATTCCATAATCATTATTTACTTTTACAGGTAGTTGACCCTCGATATGCAAAACGTATAAATCTAAGTGATAGATAGATATAACTTGTAGAAGCATACATTTATCTGTTTGATTTTTGATTTTTTATTAACGTTTGTCCAGTAAAATACTATGCATTAACAATTTTGTTCAATGACCTGATTGGTTTATTTTTATTTAACATAATATAATATAATGCTTTTTGTAATTTTTGTTTCATTTTAATCAAATTTAATCATATTATGTTAATGAATCTCTAATTATGAATTCCATACGTCACCTAGGTAATCTTTAGTAAACATTAAATAAACTTATAAAAAAAGATTTTTTAAATTAACTGTACTCGTAATTCAGCCGCAAGCCCACACTTGCATTGCTACGTGACGTACTCGTCTACAATATTATTTTGTAAAAATGCTGAACTCCAGTTTCAAATTCACAAATAATAAGAACATATTTATCATGCCAGATACCAAACGCAATTTCAAAGTTTCTCGCAAACTAACACTCAGTACTTGTAAAATTAATAATAATTCAAGTATACTCATACTAGCGAAGAAAAACGGAGCGCGGCGTAAATTTCAAGTGATGCAAAAACCAAGCCAAAACCATGCTCGTCTTATAGTATGACGACGCACTCCCGTTCATGTATGCATTTTAAATAATTTTCAACTATTAACATGGCTGTACACTCATATGTGCGCAAACTTCTACAGTATTTCAAAAAAAGAAAGATGAAAGTGTGCGTCAGTGCGTGTCAAAAATTAGAGCATGTTTTAAGCTTCACTTGAAGACTTTCTTCCTTTGTTGGGTTGAGCAAGTATCAAGTTTAATTAGGTATAGTATATAAAATATAGCGGAAAACGATTTCAATGTGTGTGTGCGTAGGTCAACTTGCATTTCGAGTACATAAATTCGAGCATGTCAAAAATGTAACTACGTCCTTAAATCACCCTGCTTGTATATGGAGACGGTGGCAAATTACTTCACTCTTTTGCTGTACGCATAACAAAAGACGGAGCAAAATATTTGATTCAAATGCATCAAATACCGACAAAAAAGAGTTTCACCCGCCGACCATCCTGTAGTTCGGTGGTAAATAGGGTAAGGAGTAATTAAATAATGTAATTCCTGCGCACACTCGACGAGCGGTATCTTAAAGAATATTGAAAAATGTATAATTTTAAGTCATATCTTTATTGCTTTTTATTTCGGATAACATTTGATATAAAATTCAAAAGAAATACCATGATACTATACCTCATATAATTTTTTTATTTCTACTCGCAGACGCGGGACAAAATAAAACTTTATTTGTTGGGGTTATAATTTCCATTTGAAACATATTTTAACATGATACAGCAACAATATCAACAACCAAAACTAAAACTATTACAACTACTTAAAAGAATTAGATTTAGACCTAAAAATCATGTTAGCTTCGTTAAAATAAGACTTTATTAAAAATTCTTATAGCAAAAAACATTGACATTTCATAATTTTGTCTTTCTCTGGTAATCCGTCCATAATCCAGTAGCAAGTGTTGAATACCCTCAGGTTTATAACAACTTCCAAAAGTTTCTTAGTTGGAAAGTGTTTAGTTCGTTATCTAAATGTGTTCAGGATTTTGTTGCCTATTCGGTAAAACCTGCTTAAAAATGGCTATACGAAAATGGTCACATAGTATTGTACGATAAATGCCTTTTTTCAAGAACCACCAAGGCTAAATAAATGCCTTTCTCAAAGGATGACTACAAAACAACAACAACAAGCGGAATGTAAATAAAGATTGTCTAAAAACTCCATATGAAAGGTTTTCGCACACAAATACTTATAAAATTCTTTGCTACATTAGAGCAGGTCTGCAACTAGAAGTAGACTAGCATAATGATTTTACTTCCCTTTTAACTTATATATTTTTTGAAATGTAATATGTAAAATAAAATTGTAGTCTTCACTGTTTAAGGAGTTGTGTTTGAAACTAGTTCACAAAAATCGAATGTATAATGGTATTCATGAACTATAATAAAAAAGCCATTTTAGCTATTAGTGCTAGAAGTTTTCACACTTTTCATGATATTGCAGAATGAGGTTTAAAAATATACTTTACTTGTTACCACACTTACTTCTTTCTGAAATAAACCTTGTGTGCAGTGTAAAATTGAATGAAATCCATTTTAAGTTTTAAGGCACATAATTTTAAATGGTTCCTTATTCTTGATATTTAAGTGATTTGAAACACCATTAATCACGAGTAATTGAGAGTAGAAAAGAAAAAGAGAGTACAAAAACCAAGACAGTAAAAAAAAACAATTAATTATTTAAATCTGGGACGACGAGATTATAAAATTTTGATCCGATCTATGGAGATAGCCTACAGTATCTTAAAATCTTACATCCGTATTGCAATATAAAAGGTTGATTGGTGCTACTGTGGCCGTGGTAGGAAAAGGGGAGATCTCCCGCCGGGCAAGGTGTTCTGCCCAGCTTATTTTATTCTTTCAGAAAAAAAGGATCTCTCCGGGCGTCCGGGAGCGGCTGACATTCCGAGTGATAGTTCGGAGAAGTTTTATATATACTGTCTACGATTCGGAATGTTAATAGGGCGATTTAGGCTTCGGTGAGTTTCGGTGTGCTAGTGGCGCGACGACAGCACCGCTACACTACTATCTGATTGAGATCCTATCAATGTTATTTAAAACCAAATTCACATAAAACACAAACGCTGAAAGTGACGCCTTCTGTGTCTATTCAGAAAAATTAAAACTAACGAACTTAGCTTATATTTTTTTAAATGAAAAGTAAATGCGATATCATAATCCATAAAATTAGTTCTATTATTTGTGCAGAATTTGCCTGAACATAGAAAATTAGGTTGTGAGCATTTTAAAATAAACTATCTTCAACCTAAAGTTACTATTTATTATGTAATATTTAAGAAAATTATCACTTGCATATAACAAGATTTTTTTACATTATTTAATTTTATATATTACATTATGAAGTCTTAACTTGGTTGAGCTTTGCTTTAATTGAATAGGTTTGCCGGGGAAGGAACACAACCGCACAGAATACGATAGTGAATTTGCAATATATAATACTGACGATGTGTTACGTATGGTGAGTTTAGATAACCCCATTCCCCTTTTAACTGGTAACAAGCCATTTTATCTTCGTCTTAACGGGTATAACATCGAAGTACGTGCCTAGGTTTACGGCCCATATGCATTAGGGTGGACTGTGTGATCGTTGGTCATTCTTTTTTTATTAATGATATGTTAAGAGAAAAACCCGACTTCAATTTCAGCACCTAAGTCATTGTTTGATTTAGAAATTTTTTTAGTGATGAAGAAAACATCGTGACCGAACTTGCATGATTTATAAATAAAAAAGAATAGGGTATCTGCTTTTTCCTGCCCTACTTACTCTTAGAAACGAGAAGACACAAAAACAAAAAAAAAAAAATTAAAAGATATACCAAAAAAAAAGCCCAGCAGTTGCCCAGAAATTAGGCGTTAAATTGGCCATGACAAGCAAGCTATTTGTTCATATTAATGCAAAATTATCTAACTAATTATTTTACGTCTTCTACTATGTTTCAATGTGGAAAATGTAAACCTTTTAGTATTAAAACTCAGGCAATGAATTAATGTTTATCTGAAATATTTTGTAAAGTGCTATGTTATTTTATTCCAATTATCTACCACAAGAACTTTAAATAATATTTGTATTTAACAGCGTCAGGGTTGTATTCATGGCGAGGAGCTTCCATACATATTTGGGGCACCGCTAGTTGGAGGATTGGCCCATTTCCCACGAAATTATACCAAAGCTGAAGTAGCGCTTTCCGAGTCTGTTATGCTGTACTGGGGAAATTTTGCAAAGACGGGGTATGTTTTTTGTATAATAATGCTAAACATTTTATTTTAAAAGATGATAACAATAAAATAATTCTAAATAATGCTAAAAATTTTATTTTAAAAGATGATAACAATAAAATAATTCTTTGTTCTTAGAAATCCCAATGAAGCCCAAGAAAGTGATCCCATTAGAGCTGGCAGGCAAGAAAGAGTTCGAATGAAAAATATGGAGTGGACTGCATACGAAGCGGTACATAAAAAGTATCTGAATATTGACATCAAATCTAAGTTAAAAAATCATTATAGGGCACACAGGTAATGCATTTCTATTAAAAATATTTCTTTTTAAGTCTTAATTGTATGAAGAAGCTAATTAAAAAACAAAAATTGACGAGAAAATTAAAAATAGTTTTATGTTGTTTGTTTAAGGCTATCATTCTGGTTAAACTTGGTACCAGATTTGCACCGTCCAGGAGGAGAAGACGTTCCACCTTCTCACCACCAGCTCGAGCATGAAGATTCTTCCTTGCAGCCTACTATTAAATCATTTACACCACCGTTTAAAAAAAACACTGATCTGATATTAACAGACACTGGCGTTGCCACTAAAGTTCCGGTGTTAGCTGTCCTCAATGTTACTTCACCTTTGAATTTCAATATAATTAGTCTGAATTCAGCAACTCAAAACCCTGGAGGCTCTGATAATCATAAATCAGATACGCCTACTTCACCACCACCAGAAGATGGATTTGCCGCTTACTCAACCGCATTAAGCGTTACAATTGCTATAGGTTGTTCCTTACTTATATTGAACGTATTGATATTTGCTGGAGTATACTACCAGAGAGATAAAACAAGGATGAATGGACAAGATGGACACAATGGATCGCATTTAAAGAAACGTGTTGAGAATGGCCAGATGCCTAATAATATTTGTGGGGATCTCGAAGGTACATTATCGTATCAAACAAGTCTCAAAAACGACCCTGCTACTATACTTAGTCATCATCATTCTCATTCCCATCATCAGCTACCACCTCCAGAATTTGCCGATTTGCCAAGTAATAATGTTGCAAGTATGGCGACTTTACCACGTGCTCCACCACCACCAAAATTAGGAAAAAGCAATATTAACACATTAGCCAGCGGGCAGCTGCAGGAAAACCAACCTTTGTTGTCAGCCCATCAAATGCAAATGATAAATACAAGTACACTAACGAAAAAGAATACCCAACTCAACGCCAAGTCCAATGTTACAATGGAGGAGTTGAGGGTGTGACGCCAGCGCGCCTGACTGCAACGAGCCGGCAGTTGCAGTGATGTGGCGCATCACGACGAGATCGTGTGACTTCAGCCGGACCTTCTCGAGAGCGTTACAGACTATATTTGACTTTAAAGCTGACGCTTTCGAAATTTGAAGGTTCTGTGCAGTGATATGATAAATGTGAATAACATTCGCAAGGACTCGTAATTTAACTACTATATCTAGGTTAATAAAATGCATTAGGAGTGTTAATTTATCTATACCGGACGTTACTCTATGTCACTTTGTAAATGTATGTAAATAAAACAAACATAATCGTAAACATAAAACCCGTGTAAATATAAATTTGACTCTGCAGCTCAGCCGCATATCCCTCCTACTGATGGTAATTATAATCTCGAATTTAGGAAAAAATATAGCACTTAATTACTAAATAATCAGTATTCTCTCTATTTCCTATAAAAACAAAATTTTTAAAATATTTTGCAGTCTTGAATTATACAAATAAAAAATAAAGGATTTATTTTAATGGCGACAAATGCTACCCTATATATTGCCACGGTTTGTCCTCGTTTTATTTCGTCACCTAAGTACAGTTCTTTCTTAAACTTAGGATAAACATATGTAGGAAATGCAGAGAATAGTTTACTGTGGCTAAAGTCATAGCGAATTTGAAAAATTATATCATCATCATCATCATCATCATTACAGCCCTTCACAAGTCCACTGCTGAACATAGGCCTATGTTCAGCAGTGAAAAATTATATTAAAAACACCAAATTTTTATCACTATGTTGTATAGTGTGAAGCAGTAACTTTGTGTGGTATTTATTTTGTTAATTTTCGTCATTTTTTTTTGTAAATTGAGGTGGGGATTCGGTTGCGCTTTAAGTGACTTCTATGTAGCTGGTTGTATTTATAATTAGGTCATTTGTTTTTTTTTTCCAAAGCCAAGTATGTACATAAAAAATAATACTTAGAACAGTCTTTATTGTTCCGTTTCATAATTGAGTCACAATTTTTATCACAATTTGGCTAAGCCATAACCAATTTTAAGACCGAACGATAAAGAAAAAAATGTATTGGTGTTCGTATGCAGGTGTGGTTTAAAAAAATTTCATATGGTTTTATTTTGGTTCTATTCATGGTTTTATGCCATTTGATTATAATATAAAAAGATTGTTAACAATAAAATAATATAATTTTGTTATTATGTAGTTTGTTTAAGTGAATTTCGTAATTTACTTTCGAAGGGAAAATATGGCATAAATTGATCGAAAATTCGTATTTCAACCCTACTTTCGTGGACAAAGTGCTGCATTGCCTCCCAATTTAATACGTATCCGTCAAATTTCTAGCTCAATTAATTTAAACGCTAAAATATATGTCATGATACATTTTAAGGTACATTCATTTCGATCAATGTATGATAGAAAATAGTATACGTACAACGGGGTGAAAGTATGACACAGCAACCTGCTTTTTTATCACCCTCGCCTAGGGCCCACCACGCGATGCAATGCGAGCAATGCCATACATTTCTTCCTAGGTGAGTAATATACTATAAATTTATAAGCACCAGAAAAGTTGAACTGATTCTCCCCCATATATGCACGTTAAATTTAATTTTTTTAGACATATACGGACCAATAGTTTATGTATATATGTAAATATTTTAGTAATCAATTTAGCGGGTTGGTATGAACAAACCCTTTAACTATAACAAATCAAAGGCGTTAGTAAATTTAATTATTTTATCATATTGTAGCATTATTTTCTATAAATTAATTTTGGGTTACCTCTGAATATGTAATCTATTGAAAATATGTATCTGACCACCTTTGATGTCCCGTCGCCAACGAAAAGGAAAGTGTGGGGAAGGCAAGATTCAAAAATATTTCCGACATAATTTAATGTAATGCCTTCTAGTTTATATTTGATTCTTGTTGTCTGTTTTCCAATCTTAATTCGCTTAAAATGTAAGTACCTTGTCACCTTAACCTACAATTTTTTAGGATTACCTAACATTATAGAATAAATATAAACTTAAGTTTAGAATAAATAAAAAATTACGAGACTTGGGATACCTAAGTCTCGTAATACGGTGTAATATTTTCATAGTTTGGTAAAAAATTTACAATATTGATTCAATCATTTTCATTATTTAATTAGAAAGAAGAAACAATTCCTAATTTAACATAGACAACAAGGATCGAACAACATAAAGAAATAATAAAAAAAACTAAATCAGAATTTTGATTAGTTCTAATTGAATGGAAATATGTTCTTAGATCCAGCCGCACTAAATTTTGTTGACGTTCTCAAGTTTAAAAAGATTTTGATGTATATTCTTAGCTAAACCGATTTGGTCTGTACAGTGTACAAAGACTAAGAAGATAATTATTAAAAGGCAGACTAAACAATTTTAATAAAACAATACCGACATTTGATCTTTTTAATTTATCTTGCTCTGCGCTTAACGATGATGACAAATAAAAAAATATGGCACATATTAACGTAACACTGATCTATGTGAAAAAATAAAAATAAAATTCCGTAAGGCAGCTGTCCGTTATTAGTTTAGTTATCGCCCCTTTATATTTCAAGGCAAGTATTAAAATTGGCATGTTATAATAACATTATTTTTATTGTTTTAGAGATTTAGGTAAAATATGTTACGAGACTTAAATTAGAACTGTTATCCATCTGTATACGACCATTGTGCAGACAATTAATAGCATGCTTACTTTAATTGAGTGACAGTCATAAAATACCTGGGCGACCTATCTTAGCTCAGCGTTAGAAAAAATATAGTTGTCTTAGTGACCAGACCTCTCAAGAAGAATTTGGTCAGATGACGTATTGTTATTAATAAAATTATGCATCCAATTTGCTAAGAACGTGCGTGAGTAAGGTAAAGAAGATAACTAAGCCGATAAGAAATAACTGCGTAAAAGGTATGTATGTATAACATAATATTAGGTTTATTAGACGAGAGCAATGCTGTTTCCAAAGTATTGTTTTTCAGTGCTTACCTACTATCCTATTTAGTGACAAGGGGTGATGCAGCAGAATATAAAATTAAAAAAATCGCAGAAAGAAACAACTTTCTGTACTCTCTTATGGCGTCTTCCAGAAAAAAAAATAATAAATTTCAATAACTTAAATGAAAATTTTAAAAAGCCCCCGAAACAAAAAGTGCTGATGTTTTTCAAACGGCTATTACATATTTTCTTGAAATACAGCTAAGAATACTTTCGATTAAGATACATTTCAAACGAGTATATTTAATCAAAACGAAAAAACTTAATCGAAATCGGTTTATCCGTTCAGGTACCAAAAGACAGACACACAGATACATACTGCAAACTTATAACACCCTTCCCTTTTTGTCGGGGGCTGAAACAAATATATTACTTGGAATCGAATAATTTGTTTGTTACCGTTTGTTGTTGAATACTTTTCAAACCACAAGTCTCTGGAAGACGCCGTATATAAAATGTATTTCGTAATGTACATATTCTTAATTCAAAAGCGTTTCCATTCACCGCATACTGGCGGATACAGGAATTCTCATAACTCCTACAAAAGAAATCAAATTTGACAAATATTTACGCAGCTTTAGAATAATAGATGCACATCAAATATCGAGCTTTGAAAGCAACCAGATGCTGCGAAGTGTAATTTATTCTTTATTTTATAACCTTCGGGAAAAAAACGTTTGTTCGAATTTTATATACAAATTAAAAAAAAGTTCAAAGTTTAATTACATTTAATATAGCATATTATATGTAAAATTTTGTTCTTCAACTTGTTGCCATGTTGTAGGTAGTGACATAATCACGTTGCTGTAGAAATCTTGGGATTATTGATCAAAAAAATTCAACAAGTAGTTTTGACAGTCGTTTCTGAAGATACCGAAACAGATGAAAATCTGAGGATGCAAGAACAGGACTATGTATATGGTGAATGCATTAAAACCATCCAACTAAACTCCTTCAATTTTGAGTAAGTGAGTGAGCTGTCTGAGTGTCCAAAGATGTGAGTGGTCTCGCGTTATCATGATGAAAGACCCCAACTTTTCTGCTGATAAATTCCGTCCGTTTTTTCTCAATTTTTTGCTTAAGTCTCAATAATTGTTGGCAGTAGAAATTTAAATCAATGGTTTTACCCGGTGGTAAAAGCTCACAATAAACGATGCCTTTTACAATCCCACCATACACACAGCATCACCTTATTGCTTACTAATCTGGACTTCACCAGTCTGTGGATCTTTACTACTCTTTGACCGAGATCTTTATCGAACGTTCTCGTCACTTAGATGATCTATTTTTTATCACCAGAGATTATTCTTTTGAAAAATGGTTCGGTTTCATTACGTTTCAATAGTGAATTGCAAATGAGTACACGATTCATTAGGTTTCTTTCAGTGAGCTCGTGTCGTACTCAAATATCGAGATTTTTTGTATAGCTAGTGTTTTTAACGGGTCAAAACTGTATTGTGGTCAATCTTTTCTAAGCTTGACACAATATAGTGAGTAGCTACTATTTTCTAAGCTATGTCGCTACTGCTGATATGCCTATCTTACTCTTTTTCAAAAATGGTATCGACTTTGTCAATATGCGGGGGACCAGAGCGAGCTGCATATTTGACATCAAAATTTCCGGACTGAAAACGTTTGAACCAACTTTAAGCTACTCTTAGTGACACTGATTTATAAACGCTCAAACACTCAATTTAGCTGACAGAAAAAATATTTTTTACTCTTTATTTTTATTTTTCTTTATATCCTTTAAGCATTGATATTAAATCCAGCCAAATACAAATAGTATGAACAAAGAAATTTTTCTTCAATTTTACAAAAATTAAACACGAAGAAACTTTTCCTAGATCTGGTATTGCAAATTCCTCATTGCCTCCCCTCCCATGAACATGGTAGCAGAATTAAATGTAAGCCTATCCCAGGAGGGTACCAGCACACCTAGAGAATCCCTCGCTGAGCATCCACGACCAA